CTTATAAAATAAAGATCCTATTTATTAAAAACAGACTATTTTTCAGAAAAATGATGTCACTTACCCACAAATATTTGAGAGGGAGCTTCCGATAAAAATTTTGGTTCGAGAGAGGAGTTTACTATGTTTCGACCAGAGAGAAAAATCTCATAAGTTTTCTAAAGTAGGAGTCCTCACCTCTCTAAACTTAAATTCTACTAATATATTATTTTATTCTTTTATTACGTTACAAGTGTGAGCGTTCTCTCGATTTAAATTCTATTAATATATTATTTTATTCTTTTATTACGTTATAGGTGTGAACGTTAGCTTACGCTTTAAACGCCTAAAGCCACGTCCTTTAGTGGACGTGGCAAGAGCAAGGAGCAACCAACCTTTTAAACGAAAAGCTTTGAAAAGTAGAGATGGTCCTTAAAGACCATCATGTTCAAACGAATCATCATGTATTAAAAATTTACTTTTTTTTTCTTTTTTCTTTTTTTTTTGAAAAGTAGAGATGGTCCTTAAGGACCATCATGTTCAAACGAATCATCATGTATAAAAAATTTACTTTTTTCTTTTTTTTTTTTCTTTTTTTTTTTTGACATTACCATTTCTACAAGTGAAAATTTCATAATTAAAGCAACAATATATTTTCATAACATTGCAAGGCTTTGCAACACCTAAACTGCATTTTCGGAATAGTTTTGAGGTGTACCTTACTTCAATAGAATAAGGTCCGACACTTTTTACAAATCTCACCCTATTTAAAAAGTAGGATTTGAGTGAAAAGTCCCTTGCTCTATGAAATCCAGCCTCTCTGTTCGGCTACCAATTGTTTGATGAATTGTCTGCAGCTCTCAATGTTTTCCGACTGCCTCGCTTTTCCCAGTCCGGCCAACCCTAAATTCCACCACTTTACCAATTACAACAACCACAAACCCAACACTCTCTCCACCAAACCCCTCATCATCTCCTCCTCATGTTGTTGCTGCTACACCCACAAAGAGCACAGGAAGCGTAGCAATGAGGAAGGAGAAGGAGAAGGAGATGCATCGAGAGTCAATCCTGCTCTCGTCGTCACGAGGACACAGAACGCGAGGTCCATGGCCACAGTCCTCCGCCTCTCCCCATCTCCACCAATATTAGAACCATCATTCTCGAATTCGAACTCGAACTCAAACCGTGATGATGAGAGGGAAAGGCTTCTTTCTCTCCCCCCTCCACCTACCTTTCCAGGCTCCGTCTCCTCTCAAAGGGCGAGAAGCACCACCCCATGCGACGGCAATGGGGACCTCGCCTCAATTTCACTTTCAGAAGGGGCAGAAACCTCCCAAAACAATGACAGCAACATGAGCAGCATGGTGATGCTGAGCCAAGCTCTGGAGATCAGGAGAGAAGCGACCTCCCAATTATTGAAAGAGGCCATGAAAGCTGCCAAGTTCAGCATCACTTATTCGGAGAACCTCACCTCCCACATGGCCGGATTCGTCGACCATATCTTGATTGAGGCTGCTTCTATGAAGAATTGTTCGCCCTCCAACTCCCCCTTCAGTGCGCGTGTCAAGTCATGCCTCAATAATTCTGGGGTGGTTCCCTTGATCAGGTTAGGTTGCTGCTGCTCCTCCTTTTCCTACCATAACCCCCATTTCATTTTTTTGTTGATTCTTACTCTGTGTGTATTTGTTGCTATATGCGAGCCACATTAATATCCATTTATCATTCACTGTACTTTATTTACATTTATCGACTGATACAACAGGAAACTCGTAATTTAGCTCATATATTAGCTTGATCAGATGGTATAGTATGTGTTAAATTTTGCTTAAAGGGTATCAAATGCATAAAGGGGAACTAATACAAGCTTTATCAATAAACACTCTGAAGCTGTTTGCCTTAACTGGCATGAGGCATGATTCATTCTTTATCAAATTCTGGAGTAGTATCATTCAACCACAAGAACAGTACAAGGTTAATTGATTTCAGAGTTCTAACTCTCAGAGGTGTTTAGAAATGTTCCAGAATTGGTGATTGCAGACTGACTTCTGGTCGTTAAGTAGTTGTAAGGAATTCTTTTTCCTTATGTCATACGAGGAGACTAAATATCGGCTACTTGCGATGGATGCAGGTGGCTAAAGCATAATTCCTTGACGTATCCCCAGATAGGGAAGATTATCTCTTTGTCTGCTGGGAATTTGGAGACTCTAAAAACATTGGTCGAGTGGTTGAAGTCAATTTATGTTAGAGGAAGGTCTATAGGAGTGGTGCTTGCCAAAGAAGAGGTTATTTTGAACAGGAACACTAACGAGTTGGATGACATTATCCATTACTTGGAAACTAATGGAGTCCGAAGGGATTGGACGGGTTTTGTTATCAGCCGCTGTCCCAAAATACTTTCATTTACCATGGAAGAACTTAAATCCCGAGTGAACTTCTATTTGGAACTTGGTATGGATGAAAAGGACTTTGGTACCATGGTTTTTGATTATCCTAAAGCTCTTGGTTTTTTTAGCCTGGAAGAGATGAACAGCAAGGTACTTCTCTTACAAACAAGCATCTGTTGCATGATCACATAGATGCTGGGTTTTTATTTCTTCCATTTTTTTAGCTTTCGATGAGACATATCAGTCTCACTTGACTGGGCAGCACTTTCTTCCTCATTATAGCGCTTTTTGTGGTTGTTATAAGAGGTGGATGCGTTGAATGTAGACTTACATTAGAAACTGCACATTTATAGGCTTTCTTGCATCAATAGGGCATGAATCACCTTTGTAGGCCTGCCAAAATAAGTCATCAAAGCAGTCATGTATCCATATAATGCTGTCCATAAGTGTACACATAGAATTATCGTTAACATGAAAATAATTTCACTTACTTGCTGATCTTAGGTCAACTACCTGAAAGAATTTGGCCTAGGGATGGAAGATGTTGGGAGACTTTTAGCATTTAAGCCACAATTGATGGGCTGCGGCATTGAAGAACGATGGAAACCTTTGGTGAAGTACTTCTACTACCTTGGGATCTGCCGTGATGGCATGAAAAGAATCCTCACAATGAAACCGATGATTTTCTGTGTTGATCTAGAATCTACCATTGCCCCTAAGGTATGGGAAATTCCGATGCCTTGTTTGGCACTTTTTTCGAAGATAATGCATCCAAGTATAAATATTTTCAAAAAAATTCCTTGCGTTGAACCATATGGTCCCATGCATGTGCGATTAAAGAGTACAAAGCAAAAGAGTGGAAAAGAAGAACAGAAATGGAAAATATGAGAGAAAGTGTGAGTGAGGATCTGAAATATAATTTTTATTTGGGTGTGGTTTGTATATGGTTGAGGCCCTAAACAATCAAAGTAAGGCGTACCTCTAAATTGTGTCAAAAGATGATTTTTCAGTAGCAAAATCTTTGTGATAGCCTGAAAATTTATTTTTATCTCTAATTATAAAATCTAAATATTTAAAAATAGTGTAGATCGAGAAAAATCTATAGAGACTTGAAAATGTTGAAAATTGACGGCCCGGATAATACATTATAAGATGCACTATTTTCCCAACTTGAACTCTATTTTTTTTTGCACCTATACATCTCAAGGTTGAGATGATTGATTTTCGGGCCTTTTGACAATCGACCCAACATCTTATAGTGAATTTTTGAGGTACGCCTTAATTTGAGTGTTTAGAGCCTCACCCTTACATAAACTATTTCCTTCTCATTTTAGCCTTTGTCGTGATAAGGCATAGTGTGTGGATATGTTTGTTCCAATGTTTTGGGACCTTCAAATTCTAAACTTGTTCTGGATGAAATAGTTATTCTTCTTTTTCCATTTAATCTGATTGAAATCTAGCCTTTCTTCCAAAATTTGTCATAAAAATCCTCATTCTTTTTTGCAGTGGGTGGAGTTGATGTTTCGGTCATCATTGTCGTATTCCTTTGCCAGACCTTTTAAATTGTGACGAATTTATTTATGGGATCGTATACTATGAGGCCATATATCTTATTACAAGGAGGTCATAATTGCTAGTAGCCATTATATGTCAAATTTGATGGTTTGGGGTGTGGCACGAAATTTGAGAATTTTCTTTTGAACTTTGAGTTAATCAATGACACAACCACCCGTTTGAAATATGACGGACAAGAATGACTGTGACCTCCTTCTATTAAAAGTAAATGGTCTCTTAGTATACTTTTCATTTATTTATTGCTCAATTTTAAAGCATAATTTATCTCCTTTATTTAATGATTAGAAGTTTTCCTCCAAATGATTCAGTGCTAAGAGTTTAGGTTTCCATTCAATTGGAACCAAAGGTTATTTGTGATCCCATGTAACATGTGGAATGTTTTTATGTAGAGCTTGTGTCTTTCTGCTTTTCTCTCTGTACTTCTGTCTGAAAATTAGTAATTCAAACTTGAACTGACTTTGCATAATGTGTTTTTCCAGGAGATGCTCCTTAACAAAAATTGAAATATATGCTATTGTTGTACGGATATGGGTATGCATGTTAGTGTCTAATATGGGTTTGAGGTGTCGGATTCTTCATGCCGTGAAGAAGAGAATTTGGTGACACGGCTACATAGCGAAGAGACAACAACTAAATCCAATAATGTTTTTCTGATATCTTATTTCATGATAAGTCACTTGAAATACTCGAGTGTACCTTAATTATCTGAATCCATAGATTATTTTAAAATTGCATAGACATTTTTGAAGTTCGCATGCGTCTTCTCAAAACAAAAAGAACATCGAGTCTCTAAAATGATGTAAGTAATTGTTAATAAACAAGTAGCAGAATCCAGATCTGTATGTGGGTCGATAGTGTCCAACGCGGGTATAGCACCCAAAGAAATGAATCCATGTAACATAGAATAGATGCTATCTTCCGGCTTGTGATCTTTTCCTTTTTATTCTGATGATTCTTTTATATGATACGTAAAATACACTGTTGTACTCCTTAACTTCAAGACCTTGACTGCACTAAAATTTTGAGTACATCATTGGAACGATCATATATTATCAGAATACCCTGAAACTTAGGCCAAAATAAAACTTCCTGCATCAATGTGATACACCGTTTCAAAGTTACCCACTTCTCTAAACAAATCTAGAAGTTCCAATCTAGTTGTGCGGTTTCGGTATGCTGTGGCGGACCTGGCAAAAGGAGTATCTCACCTAGTATAATATGTGTTGGACCCAATTTTTGAGTTGGTTTTGTACTGCAATACTTCAGAATGCATCCAGAGCCTTGGCAAGCATCCTGACTCGGTGTGGTCATGAAAATCATGGTGGTTCATTCGAAACCCCATGTCATTGGCCTCAAACTGTAACATCACCTCTTAGGACTGATATTGGTAGGCTCTAACCACAAATTCTTGAGTCCCAGACCCAGAGGAGTTTCAAAGCTCTACTTGTTCCAAGCCTTTCGAGAGTGTAATTGGCCATAGGAAATCCAGACTAAACCCCAATTCTCCCAATTAGGTGCCAAACATAAGCCCTAGGCTCCCAAATCTTTTGAAATCCCCTGCCCTGCCCTGCCCTATCCACGAATTTCTAAGCCCCAATTTCATCAATTCAAAACTGTAAATCAGTCCTAAACTCTAGATCTCCCACATATAGTCATATACTTAACATGGATGGCTGTAGATCATATAAATTCATTCAAATCCATTCAAATCACTTCAAACACCTTCTGATGTACGTCAATTCAGTCTCATATGTCATGTTGGGGATCATCCATCCCTCCAACAAACTCTGTTCCACTTCCTTTCACAATAGGTTCCATTCCAATGGCACCTATTGATGTACACCTATATTCTTTTTTTTTTTTAAGACCTGTAAATTTATTTTCTTTCAAAGATTAGGAAGCAACTAATTTCTTTTATTGTTACCTTTCTTGATTCGCATGTGCATTACCCCTTGGTGGCGTACAGATAGAGCAATATTTCTGTATAATTTTGTCTGGCCCTCTCTTTATTGAATTCTTATATTCAATATTCTTTCCAAATCCTCTGTGGTAATTCTGTTTAAGTTTACTGGAGATTCGTCCTCCATAGATACACTCATAAGCAGACTGGTTTAGAGACTTCACAATTTCCATTTTCCATCTGCATTGCCTTAAGGCCGACTGCTTGTTGTTCATAGTTGTTCATCTGGCATAGAATGTCTCGGGGTAGATGCAGATCTAATGTTAGATGTAGATGACATTGATTCTTTAATGATGTTTTTCTATGATAATGCTACTTAACTCACAAAGAAAATATTTTAATGATATTAGTTCTTTAGGTCTGCAACTCTCCTGAATATTTGCCAATTGATATGTGTTTTCATTTTGTTATGTAGGTACAGTTCCTACAGGACATAGGGGTTCGAGAAGATGCTATTGGGAGTGCTCTTGTCAAGTTCCCACCCTTACTGACATACAGCCTGTACAAGAAAATTCGCCCAGTGGTTTGTTATTGGTTCCCCTGTCGTTATTTAAACCATTATTAAAAATCCAAATGGAGGGAGAGATTTTTTGTTTGGATAAATACCTGCAGACATTATAAAAAAAAAGGGTAAAAATCATTTTTATTTGGGATATGTTGTTTGTTCAATGTTGCTATGTCCTGAAACTTCAGTAAGAGCTTTTCATTCTCCATGATGACTATGAGTTTTTATGACTGGAAAAGATGCTCCTAGATTCCAAAGGGAATGTGGTTAATGCCTGAAGTTCTGAATGTTTTCTATCACGGAAATTCCATTCTTCATGGGCATACGAACTTAAAAATTGAGAAACGTATTGAACCGAATAGACAAAGTGCCTTCAGTTGTTCTCATCTTGATGCAGAACTAAAACGATTACATTTGGACTTACTAGTTACTTTCCCGACATGATCTTGGCGCATGGCAATGTTTATATTCACCATACATAACTGTGGCTATGCTTCATTACTCCATTTTGTCACCCCCTTTTATGTATACGCAATTTATTTTCAAGGTGCAGGTTATATTCTTGATTACAAAAGCTGGAGTGCCCCGCAAAGACATTGGGAAGGTAATAGGCCTTGAACCACAGCTTCTTGGATGCAGCATTGCTGGTAAATTGGATGTTAATGTGAAGTACTTCCTGTCATTGGGCATACCCTTTCAATCATTGGGTGAGATGATTGTTGATTTCCCGATGCTTCTGAGATACAACTTGGATGTGCTGCGACCCAAGTACCGTTACTTGAGGCGAATAATGGTTCGTGCACTACGTGACCTCATAGAGTTTCCAAGGTAATCTCACTCTCTCTATCTCTCTCTCTCTGATTTCAAATGACCATAATCATAAATATAAAAAATGCAGGTTTTTTAGCTACTCACTCGAGAATAGAATAATCCCCCGGCATAAGATCCTCGTTGAAAATAGGATAAATTTCAAGCTGCGTTACATGCTGGTTAGCCCCGACTCTGAGTTCAATAAAAGGGTTGAAGCAGCATTGGATAGGAGGAGGAGGTTTGAATCTGGTAGCATGAGTCATACAAATCATAATTCCATTAGTTCTAAAGAGGTGACAGTTTCTGATTCTCCTGAGATGATTACTTGCTCTTCTGAGTGACACCAGATCATCAAAACGTGTGCAGGCAGTTGCCTATGTATCTCTGAGCAGTGCAGCCCAGGTTTCGATCCCACGGTGCAGTCATTATTTTGCGGCTGTTACTGGCTGTTCATATCTCATAGTCAAAACCAACTATTCCTTTTGTACAGCAGGCCATGTATCCATAATTTTGACAGTGCCATGTTCCTAATGTTTGTGTATCTGTGGAGAGGAGATAAAGGAAATATCTTGTTATTGCATCTTTTCGTTTTAACCGTTTAACAGGAAAACATCATCCATGATTTTTAAGTTACAAATCATGAATATATGCAGTTGTGTCAAAGTCCATCTGCCTCAATACTGTTTCCATGGTGCCGAAATTAACGTAGCCCACCTTTGGGCTCATGCATATGTCCATGAAGGTAGTACGAGGATGCACTTATTCTGATGAATGGGCCTTTCTTGATAGCAAAAAGTTTATATAAGGTTGTAATCCTACATTATAGAAGTAATAGCGTATGTCAAAAATCTAGGGGAAAAGAGTGTTCCAAAGCTGGGGAACCTTCCAATTCATCATCTCAATCATTATCTCAATCTTGAGATGTATAGATATAAAGAAAAAAAGAATTTCTAGTTCCAAAACAATACATCTTGTAAAAAAAATTTCTGGACTTTTTATTTTCAAGGATTTCAAATGTTTATAGATCTGTTGGATTTGCATTGTTTTTTAGAATTATAAATTTCATAATTAAAGTTAGACATAGATATTCAAGCTATCATAAAATTTCTAACATTCAAAGTAACAAAAACTACATCTTCTAGTGAAATTTAGACGTGCACCTTGGTTATTTAGTATAAGGTGGGCACCTTATAAAAGCCTCACCCTTCTTCAAATATTCAATATGCGGATATATATAGAAAGGATCCATGAAATTGCATCTTTAAGGCCAAGTGTTTAGTAACACCAATATTTCAGTCATTTGGAAGTGTTTAACTTGATTCTTCTTGTTGATTTCATTTAAGATGTACAATGTACAGTCAAAATTGTTAATAGAACTGTTCAGAATTCAAAGCCTACTCACTGTCACTCATAGGTTGCATCTCAACATGCCCTTTGAAAACAAATGCGAATGAAGTTTCTTTTGGCTTTATTGTTAGAAATTTCAGAACATTCGAACATTCAATGTAGTTGACTTGATGGAGAAGAATGAGAAAAGGAATAGATTTTGAACAATCGAAAATACTAAAAGAAATTTTTCTTTTTTCTATGGGCTCAAAACTCATAGAAATCCTGAATGTTCAGTATTGATGCTAGAGAAAAAAGCAAAAAGAAAACTAAAAGAGAAGCAATAGGTTGTGTCATCAGCACCTGCTGATATAATCAACCATGCTAACCTTGGTACGGAAGTTATGTATGAACATAATGCTCACAATTTCCCTCTATACTTAACTACTGATTCATTCTACAAATGGATAATACTTTGTCCTAAGTGTATACAAGTCGTTCAAGGACTAGTACCTTTTGTATTACTCTGTTCAATCTAATAGTTCTTTTGTTCATCATTTTTTTCATTCCAATGAATTTATTTACACCACTTCAACATTTCTCATATGGATTGTTCGTTCTTGTTTAATTCACATATTTTTTTCTTTTCGTTTCATGGTGTATACTAATCCATAATTAATGGCGGATTCCACAAAATCATTGAACTTTTCCTTCATTTCTATTCTGTGGGACCATAGGACTATAATAATATTTTATAATGTATAAGGCATCATGACCTGGTATCTAAAATAACCTGTACCTCTCGTGAGAGCGGTCCCCAATACTACTTAGGGTTTGCTATAATATTGTCAACGTTGAAAAAGATGAGGGCCCTATACGTCCCTATATATCTTCATAGGGTAAGTCAGTTATTAGGGTTTTGGGTTCTTGCGCCCTTCTCTCTCCGTCAAACCTTCATGGATGTTGAAGATGCAGCTGATCTTTCCATGCGTCTCTTCTTTGATGATGAAGTAGAAACAGCAGAAGCATTTGAGGACGATAGTAGTATGATGAGAGTTCTTAGGGAGGAGCAAGAGGAGCACCACCTCCGGACCACAAAGTCGTGCTTCACGATAAGGCAGCTCCCCTCGGAGGGCCTCTCATTCCAGCTCTGGCCGGCTGCCTCTGCGCTCGTCTCGTTCTTGGATGATGATGCAAAGGTGGTAGTCAAGGGGAAGAGAATATTGGAGTTGGGGTCAGGGACGGGCATGGTGGGCGTCGCAGCAGCCATGTTGGGAGCCCATGTGACAATGACGGACTTGCCGCACGTCCTTCCCAACCTCTCCTTCAATGCCGATGCCAACCAACGTGCAGTTGAGGTCACCGGGAGAGGTGGATCTCTCCACGTGCAACCCCTCACTTGGGGCCACGACCACGACTGTCACCTTCTCCTTCAAGCAGGTGGGGGTGGTGGGTTTGATATGGTGTTAGGGTCGGACCTGGTTTACCACGACCACCTCTTTGACCCTCTGTTGAGGACCCTCCAATTCTTTGTCAAGGAGGAAGTGCAATTTGTGATGGCCCACCTCAAAAGGTGGAAGAAGGAGGCAGCCTTCTTCAAGAAAGCGAAGAAGCTGTGGGACATTGACCCACTCTTCACTTATCCACCCTTATCATCGTCATCGTCCTCTGGCAGCCGGACAGGGGTCACTATCCATCGCTTCACTGATGCACGAAAGAAAGGACGAACCGCTCAACAACACCAACATAACAAGCCAACAACAACAATCTCATCCACTTCTCCCTAACATCTTAGTCTTCTACTTGTTTCTCAGCTACTCTTGCAATGGATCTTTTTGCCCTTTTTCCCCTCCCTCCACCTTTTGCACCATTCATTTTACTAGCTGGAGAGAGACATAGCCAACACACGGTTCACTGTATCCACTTTCACTCACTAACATAGCCAACAGTCTACTGTGGGACAATAGACTCTTATCCATTAGTACCCATATTAATAGAGAGAGAGAGCATGAGCAGTAAATTGGAGTGACCATACAACGAGGGGAAGCTTTGAGCGTAAGATAAAGAGATAACAGAACAGATAATATAGCGCAGAAACACGGCTTTGCTCCCATTAAACCAAGGGCAAACGATATTTCATGTAGCCTTAAACAACAAATGTCTCTCCCTACTCAAATTGCTTAGCGGTGGAGGTTCCTCAGATCTCAAAGTTCTCTGCTATTTGTGTTTTTCATCTATCCCCACTCTCCAGAAGTTTCCCCGACAGCTCCTGGCATAGCAGAAAAACAAACCCATGATCACATCCCTCAGCAAATTAAAGAGATTGCTTCCAATAAAATAAAATAAAATAAAATAGAAAGTGGATCCCTCACAGTTGCAGGAGAATGGAATTTTAAAGAGATTGCTTCCAATAAAATAGAAAATGGATCCCTCACAGTTGCAGGAGAATCGAATAAAGATAGGAGCAAACATTTCATGTGTCGCTGTGGCAAAATTGGATTGGCGCCTTAAACAATGGCATCCAGAGGACAGGCCCCTTGGCAGAACCTACGTATGCATCTAGTCATGGCAATGTCATAACTGCACCAAATAAACAATAATTGAGAACACTACCAAGACTCACTCTAGAAGACAACAAAAAAAAGGATAATACACACTTGGTCAAAATATTTAGACACAACAAACTTGTTGTTTGGCACATACCATCTTCTCTCTCCTCAACTTTGATGGTAATGGCTTGAGGAGGGCATATCCAATCCAACAAACCACCCTAGCATATTAGAAGTTCTGTCTTCTCTGTCCATATCTTCTAGATATCAAATGATAAGTTCAAAACTTGAGGATTAATGTTTGATTTAGTTTGGTCAATATATACGCTTGTATACTGTATTGGTTAGAAACAGGTTCAGGGGTAGGTTTTTGCCTACTCCTTATATGGGAAAGTGGAAAAGAGATATGAGAGAGGGTTGTCCCCTTTTAGTTGATGATTTTCTCATTGAGTATCAATTTGGGAGAATTACCAAAAAGGTTTTCTTTTCTTCTATTTAATGGGGATGTAGTTATGCAGGAAACAACATTAAGTAACGAAAAGTTGGGAAGCAATATGGGTGAGGGTTTAGGAATGGACTCAAGGCATAGGTGATGAGGGCGGTGGATGCCACAACATGATGCCTTGAGTTCCATTCCTAGTGTGGTAGGGGACCCCTTCCCCACTGATCTACCCAAAAAAAGAATATGCGAGGGTTTTTATCTAATATCAATGGGATTAAAGACAGGGTGGAGGGCCATGCCTGCAACATGCATACTAGATCTTGGTTGTTTGCTATGTGGCATACTAGATCTTGGTTGTTTGCATACTAGATCTTGGTTGTTTGCTATGTGGCCTCTTAGATATAAAGAAATGAAATAAATGCATTTGCAGATCCAGGTCCTATCCATTAACAATCAAGAACCGGAACCTAGCATATCCACTCAAATAAATATGAATAATCCCTCGTTCTCATTTCTGATATTTAAGGATTCTTTCACACATGATCGTTCTCAAATAGCCATTAAATGTCATGAGGCAGATTTGATCTTTTGATGCCAAATAAAACAATCCATTGTACACTACAGGTTTTGCTGAATGTTCTCAACATACAACCAAATACTGCTGTATTTAGTTACAAACAATACCACTGTAGCAACCAATAAAAACTGATCCAGTATGAGACGATGTCAATGGCCAACCAAAAAAAAAACCATAATAATCTCGCATTTCATTAACGGCAGGAGGAACCTCAAGCTACAAATAAAATGGTAGCTACAGTTACTGTTTCACATAGTTTATATGCAATGCAGAAGTCCTCATCAGTTTTATGGAAACAAATAGCATGTTCACTAGGAATTGTGGACTTGACAAGCACCTCTCAAAGGGTAGTTACTCTGAAACTAAGGTATAAATATCACAACCAACACCATCATATGCACAAAAAAGAGACATCAAGATTGGAACGGAGACCTTACAACTTTCAAAGAAATACTTGAGAGCAAGCATAAGACCTTGCACCATCTCAGTCAAAATAGCATATCAATACTTCTCTCATAACTGCAACATAAACCTTTGGGCAAAAAATAGTAAAAAGATGATGATGACCATTCAAAGCTTTGAGAAGCAGCAAGTTAGAAATAACAAAAACTAGTATATGTGAGCTCTGAATTTACCAGCACTTCAATCTTTGGATCTCTTTTGCCTCTATTTCCTTATCATCAAGTTGATCTAACTGGAAAGCAATAAGAAACAGAAAATAGAATATTGTTACAAAAGCAAAAGAAGACAAAGGTATAGACGAAGGGCTAATAAAAAAATGAGCCACAATTCATCCTAACCAATGCAAATCACCTAATAGTATAAAAAATGGATTATGTTTCTTGGAAAATGATCCTTTGGAATTTTGATCCAATCATAGCAACTGCTTTCATGATGACTACAGTTCCAAAGTATTACACTAGCAACACCAAGGAGGACATAATAATGCTTAACTCTAATATGAGTTTGTAGAAAATGCTCTTGTGGGAGCATACTGTACAACCCTCAGGCCAAATAGCTGAGTGGGAGAATTTTAGTTCAAAATTTTGGGGATCCATATTAAATATCACTAGATGATTATTTTCAAAGAAAAATTTTGAGCTTTTGAACATTTAGATCTTGCCCTCCAAAAATTGGACGGTTCCTGTGCAATCTTGGTCACTCTTCTAGAGATTACATCCCCAAAAATTGGGATGTCAAAAATATCCCTAGCATGAGGTTTGCCCAAGGAAGTAGATAAACAGTATTATACTCCCTTGGGAGAGGGAGTATGAATTCTTTTGTCTTCTGATATATTTTACCAGGGTGAGAATTGGCAAACACGAACAACCTGGCCTAGCTGCTTGGGTAGCCCAAGAAAGTTGACATCCTGACTCCAGGCATAGACTATAGATATGTGGGGGAATGAGAATAATCACCTGCTTTCTTGGTTACATCTTTCCATTTCATGTTCTACGGTTCAAGGGTTCAGTTCCCCATGTTCATTCAGCACAATATATCATTGCTCCCTCAAGCATTTTGACATTAGTGTTGTTGTGCCCATTCCAAAAAACAATAGCTTATACGGTAATTCCCGGGAAATTCATCAAGAAGAATCGTCTATTCACCCCATTCCTTCTCTTGATAAAAAATACATTGATTAACATTTCTACAAACCTTTTATTTGAGGAAAGATGTTCCTAGAAACTAAGGGTTGTGGAGTGTGGGTCAGATCATGTGTTGTGATTCCTAGGGAAAAGGGTCAGGGAGGAATTTAAAGGGTTTCCAGTCAATCAATTCTCAAGAATTGGAGGGGCAAGTGTGGTTGTCCACCTGCTAGAGTTATAAAGCTAACTTTGATGTACTCTGCACGGGAAACCAGGCCTTGCCAAGGTAGGGTATTAGGTGAGGGATGCCAAGGGAGGCTATGACTTAAACGATATGGGAAATTTGCAACATGAACACTTCAGAAGCTAAGTCTGCCGACTTTCATTATGGTTCAGGATTTCATGATATTGATTTCAAGACCTCTAACTGTTATGCATGACCCCTAAAGATGGTAACGTGCAGCATCACCATGGTTACTCATATGCTTGGAGACTAGCGATTAATTGAGGGTTGGATCTATCTGTCTATTGATGTTACAATTCACTAACTCATAATGGATCATGACATGACTGATTGTTTGGCAAGGAGTGTCCCAGTTTGCACTGAAAATGGGGCCTCACCTTGACTTTTTGGGACTCAGCTTTGTTGTCCCAAGGGTCGTTCTTGTTTGTCCACAATTATCTAATAAAAAGTGATGATATATTCATTATTGCCAATCAGAGCCTATTCCAAAACAAAAGAAAAAGGAGTGATGCTAAGACAACTCAAACATTGCATCTTAGCCAAGATGTGAACTCCCAAATACCTCACATAATTAACTTCTGGCAATAATTTACACCCTAATTATGGTTATCATCTTTCAAGCCAATTGCAAAAATCTAAACAACTAGAGGGATAAGGGAAGAGACCTTTTCTTTTTGTTGGATAATGATGGAATCCAAATGAACTTCTGTAAGGTTGTGAACCTGCCAAATTTTGCCCAGTTGCGACCTACATCAAATTGAGTAACATATAAGAGACATCAAGTTATCTATTAAGGTTAATAATAACAAGGGGATCATCACAAAGTCAACAGTTCAAAAAAAAAAAAAAGAGAGTCATCCCAATTTGAAAAACAACAATAGATGAGCAACAAAAATAAAAGTTGTATATAAAAAAAAGATTGGAAGTAAGCAAAACTTGTAAACTTCCTTAAGTCAAAAGACTTCCACTAGAAAGACTGGAGATTGTGCAACACAAGTATTCTCCCACTCCAAGCACATCTGTGATATAATGCTGAAGAATGAGGCACGTCAGATTTCTGTAAACAACCTCCTAGCTCACCACCAGTATAATCAGCCAATAACTTGGCAAGAAATAGAATTTTGTTGGTCACTCCACTTTCTTTGGCCACTATCTCAGGTAAGCATAAGCGAGGATACTTAAGCAATGAGCTAAATGTGGCCCAAATCATTTCAAAGAGGAAAAAGGTTTGACAAAATCACAAATCCCATATTTGCAAGATGAAGGGGCTCTAGGCAGAGGTGGTCGAAATGGCAGGTGCCACAAAATGGCATCCAGCATACCAATTTAACCAGGGCCCAAGTATACATTAAAGAAACATATTAATAAATGATTTTCAAATTTTCAAGGTCCTCAAAGTCCATGCTTAAAGGCATGTCTTGAGGAACTGCAAAAACCATTGGAAACCAAGGTTGACCATGAGGAGAAGGTTGATTCATCATGGTGGTAAACATCATAACTCAAGGTTTACGCCCAAAGAAAAGACATAAAATACCTAACTTGTTCGAGCCCAAGGAGAAGGCGCAAACATCCAACCAGATTTAAGCATAATTAAGAACCTAGACTGATGTTCAGTGCAAGTAGCAACATAACAGTCAAGATCCCCATTAGAAGCATAAAACGCAAAAGATAAGATTCTTCAATTATTACTCAAGATGCTGCTCATATCTTCCTACACACTCTACAATCAATATGATTCTGCAAAATAATCCAATTCTCTCAAAATTTATTTTCTTAAACTCACCTGTATTACTATAAAGAACAAAAAGGATGATGAATTTTGATTTTCATATCCGAAATCTTTCTCCCTCCTATTTTCCTAAATCCCTATGTCATCATGATATAGGATTCCTAGCAAAATACACATTCCCATTAAACAACTAGATACTTATCCCAATAAAGTGGGCTTTTATGTTACTACAAAAAGAATACAACCAAAATATAACAGATAGTGTTGATTAATAATTCAGCATCATCATCATTAGAGCCTTTTCCCAATTATTTAGACTCGGCTACACGAAGCTTGGTCTGCCATTTTGCTCTATAAAGGGTCATACCCTCAATGAGGCCATAAGTCCCTCATATTTTTTCTCACTACTTCCAACCATGTCCTTTTGGGCCTACCCCTTACCCTTTTTGAGCCTTCCACTTAAACCATGCCACACCTAAGTTCTCCCGAATGTATTCATTTCAAATTCTATCCCTTCTTGTCTTATCACTCATCCATATCAACATCATCATCTCAACTACACTTATTCTATAGGTAATGTTGTTTCTAGATGCCCAATATTTCGCCCCATAAAAAAAAGCTAGTCTCACAGTTGTCCTACAAGACTTCCCCTTTGCCTTCATTGGAATGCCACGATTATATAAAACTCCAGTTGCGCATCTCCACTTCGCCCACCCAGCTCTAATTCAATGTACGACATCTTCCTCAATCTCTCGATTTTCTTGGATTATCGACCCAAGATATTGAAAGTGCGCACTTTTCGGTATTATCAACTTATGTTAAATAATAATTATCTTGACAAATACACAACTATAAAATAATACTTAGAATCTAAAAAAAAAGTGTAAAAAAAAGATATTGATTCCTATTGTTTATTTATTCATTTATTTGCTTATTTGAATGCTAACTTGGTACCTCGGTAGAAATTAATATACTAATCTTTAGTTTTCTAAAACCTCCCTATTTCTGTATAAATAAAACTATTGTCAAAACAGGAGTTCCAATTAAAACAGCTGGAGTCTATCTTAGCTAAATAGTTTATATTAGAAAAAGCAGAAAGTAATGAGCATATAAAGAATAAAATTAAGTAGAATTATATTAAAAAAAAAGTAAATTAATATAAAGAACTTAAAAAAATAAATAAATAATGCAGTAGATTCTATTGAATAAATAGTAGTAAACTAAATTTCATCTAATTTCTCATATGGAGCATTGTGCGACGCACGTGCTAGCTGTCTTATTCAAAACTTATTCAAAACATCAAATGGTTTTCTATCCATATTCACCTATTCACGGGGATCATCATATTCAAACTAAGGATAAAATTCTTTGTGTATATTGTGGCTGCACTATCAAATCAAGAAAAAAAGATATATAAGCACATAAGGCATAAATTACTCTCTTTGTCATGTTCATATCATCTAAGAGCACCAAAGCTAAGACTCTTGAATGTGGTTTATGCGATAATGGACAGAAGCACGTGTCTGCATGATGACACATGTTCACAAGTTGGTATTGTGAATTTTGTGCCACGATTTTCTTCCTATAAGCTCTCTTACTTAGGGGTAGCTCCAATAGGTGATAAGATGCAGAAAAGTAGACCTAGGTGGTCTAGCCAGGTGTAGCAACCTACAACAGCATCCGTTACGAGGGGTGATTTGGTTCAAGTGGAGGGCTCTAAAAAGGGCATGGGGAAGGCCCAAAAGGATATGGATGGAAGTAGTGAGAAGAGATATGGTGACTTACAGTCTGACTAAGGGTATGGCCCTTGATAGAGTAGAGTGGTGGAACAAGATTCGTACAGCCGACCCCAAATAGTTAGGATCAGTGTTTTGGAAATAGACTGGGGCCAGGTAATCGCCACTGGCCCGAGCCAAGTTACTTGGGCAAGTTCGAGTGGACTCGCCCAAGTCAAGCTTTATATCATCTAATCTAGAGAAAATAAAAAATATTGAAAATAAATATTGAAAAAGAGAAAAATTGAGATTGACATAAAACATAAGTTTTTTTTCACAAAATACTTGTTTTCTTTGTATGCTGTTAACAATTTCTCACAAAATATTTCTTAGCACCAAAAAAATAAATTTGTAAAATCTTGTTTCTTCTCAAAAAACCACGAAATTTCAAGCCAAAAATAGCAATTTACAGCCATGAATCAAACAAATCATCATGAGGTTATCAAACGGAACCAATTTTCAAAAGATTTGGGCAAAAAAGAAGGAGAAACCGATGAGAATGGAATAGATTGGGGTTTGTCATAAAAAACTGTTTCTCACTAGAACCGCGATTTTTCGGGCCAAATCTCTCGACCTCTAGTATTTTATCCAACAAATAATTATAGGTAGATTTCAATGGATTGAATGCAAAACGAGAGAGAAATCCACATTTAGGCGGATTTGTTCAAAATACAGCTATTTTCACCAAAAATCGTTGAATAAATCCCCAGTCATAAGTTTTGATCCAAATTAATCGAAGATATATTAATTTGGATTAAGAAAAGGGAATAATATAGGGTTATAAGTGAAAATTTTGATCCATATTTATCAAAAAGTGTTTTATTAAAATCACCAACAGCGTACACCATGCTGTGTACACCAGACTCGGGCTTAACAAGGACGAGGCCGAGTAACTCAGTAGAGTCCTCCCAAAATTATGGTTGGGATAAACCTCATATGATGGTGATGATGAAGTTCTCTTACTCATTAATCGTTCAGAGTAGTCACTATCTGGCATCATTTCATTTTTGTTATTCAGATAATGAGAAATTACATCCTATGCCAACAAATTAAGCTCATGATTCTTTCCATATAATTTATGATGAACTATAAGTGTGACAATTATGAAATAAACAATAAAATATGTAAGCATTAGCATTTGCAGGATTCCTAAAACATTTCAATGTGAAGTTTCATTGATGATTTTTGTAAATGCAAACAACTATTGTCATAGTTCAATAATTTGATCTTTCATAGTAAGCAATACCAGTAAATACTCATTGTCGATTTCCCGTAAGCAATCTTCCAACAAGACATTAAACACTCACAAAGAACAGTAACAACGATCTACAAAATACTATCAAGGAATTTGTGCAGAGAATGCATCCCCGTTCCCCAAAGAGTGTTTTTCTGCCAAGCGTAAATGCAAGCTAAATAATTCTCAATTCCAAACACACCTCAAATTATCCTGGAAGAAATGATAATGACGCAATAGAAACGCATGCCCAAAAAGAACAGAAATTAATAAGAAATGATGACATGATGTTTACGAGTTATAAAGCGCAAAGCAAGAAGGAATTTCCGAGCTAACATCGACGCAGCTGCTATGCTTTTGCTTTCACTACAACAAAAATCAAACTCTGAATCTTTCTCTCTGTCAGGAAGATTCATGTCATGACAGAAATCCAGTCCACCAAAAAGGGTGCGTTTGATTACTTTCTCATAAAGATTCTCCTTGCTGCTAACTTTGGATTTTGAGAATCGCATGGAAACTGGTAGCACAAGAGCTGGGGACCTATTTGATAAATTGTGGTGCAAGTATCTTGATGGAAAAGGTTTATATAAGGTTGCCACACCATAAAATGTAGAATTAAACCTAAAAATCCATCGAAAAGGGTTGTTTTAATATTGAAAAACCCTCTAATTCCTCATCTCGACATCGTCATCTACAAATAGAATCATTACTCATATGAAAAAAAAAACGAAACAAAGATTTTGCGTCCGCATCTCGCAACACCTTATCTAGGCCGTATATTTTTAAATTTATCTAGGCCGTATATTTTTAAAATTATCATATGTTTATAGATCTACTTGGTTTTAACTATTTTAAATTTTATTATTAAATATGAAAATAAATTTTTAGATAAATTAAAGAATTTTTATACCAAAATTACATGTTAAGATAAAATTTGGAGACGCGTCGTAATTGGATTGTTTAAGATTGCAACGTTATAAAAACCACACCCTTTTGATAAATTGCGGTGCGAGTATTTTTATGTCTTTGGCATTGGGAAAGCTAGTATATATATTAGAAAAAAGTTTATATTATATATCTAGGAAAATTGTTTCTACATATGCAGTCCAGAAAGTCTAATGCATCTATCTTTAAGATCGATGCAAGATGGTGTTCCATCTAAAAACAATAGAAACTTACTGTCCAAATATTTTCTTACTAGAATTATTATTTTGAGTTTTAAAATTTTATTTATGTTTTCATATTCATGATCTCCATAATAGAAATTATATGCCCTTAAAAATTAAATCTTAAAATCCATCTCAAAAATAGATTTATTAAGAGACCCGCATTTCTACATATGAGAGCTTGACCGCATAGAAATCGGGTCCTTATATTATATATAGAAAACTCTTAAATTAAATTATTTTATATTATTATAATATATTATTAATATTGTAGTATTATATATAATATTATTGTAAAAAGCTAAAATGATAATGATAATGATGATGATGGTATATAATATTATGAAATTATATCACAACAGCATTTTTAATATATAAGGCGGTACAGCTCCAACGGCGAGTGTCTCTCTTGATCAAAATTGGACGGCTGGATGGTAGGGAGATGATAGAACTTCTATGTTGTAGGGGGAGCATAGAAACATTTCCTTTATCTAAAAGATCTTTTATTTCTTTTTGACCGATTTCTAAATATCTCAGACTCATGGCAATTGTGTTGGCTTTAGTAGAAAATTTAGTTTCATCAAAATCTTGTATATAAAGAAGGGAAATTTTATATTTCTTCCTTTCTCAAAAGGCAGTTGGTAATTTTGAACATATTTATGTTTTTAGCAGTTTTTTTAATGTTATAATTTTTTCTTTTGATTCTTCGTCCTTGTCTAGCGTTTCTTTAATTTTGAGATTTTTAACAAAACTCTCTAATTCATTGATGAGTTTAGTTTTTGTTATTATATTACTTTGTAATTCTCCTATATGGGAGAAAATTGATTTATCACAAAATTTAAAAGTTACTTTGAATATTTTAATTATACCATGGATTCCTTTGCTGTCTACACTAAATGGTTGGATCATGGTTAAAAAGAGTATTCCTAAAAGTATTTTTTATCTCAAGTCTTTCACTAATAAAGAATTAGTGATAAATTTACAGACAAATTGTTAGAAATTTTATATTTAATTTTTATTTTGTTAAGGTTAGCATTATAAAGTTTTTGATCATTTCTTTCGAAATACTGGGAAAATTAATATTTTTTTATGCAATTTAAGTCAACCCCTAAGTCTACTAAAGCTATTTGAATAAGAGTAAAATATTTAATTGTTAGAGTTATTTCTACAAATCATTTTTTAATTTTAAATTGAAGCCTATTGAGAAAATTTAGATCTTCACTGACTCCTTCTTCTATAGAGGGATTACTATAGCTTTCTTCTAACAAATTTATCCTCTCTTTAAGATTTCTAATTTATTCTTTATTTTCGTTAATCTCTTTTTTAAGATAATTTATTATAATTTCTTCTTTTAATATTTTTATGCTCTTGCTTCAATCAATTATTTTATTGAAGTCATAAGCCTGACGTGTTATATTAGTTTTTTCTATTTCTTTTATTTGTTTATTTTGATTCTTAAAATGCTCTATTTTAAAAATAATTCTATGAAATTTTACAATCAAAATGAAATTTAAAATGCAACCAATTGCTATAAAAATGAATATCTCTAATTCAGATTATTTATTTTTATAAGGGAAATGACCTTGCGAGACCCTCACACACCCATGTGTATAGGACGTCAAAAGATCACTATTAAATTTGGTACAGATCTTTGGAAAAGTCAAGTCTCATACCTATGTGATAACTTTTCTAGAGATCTGTACCAAATTTAATTGTGATCCTTTGGGGTCCTATACACATGAGTGTGGAAGGGCCTCATAAGATCATTACGCTTTTTATAATCTCTTATGCCACTTGTAAAGATAGTGGGGCTTGCGTACCCATTTCTTATTTTTACCTTTTCATGAAAATTTATTTATTGAATTAATTATTTATTTTCTTTGATATTTTTGTTTTTGTGTTATTGAATATGTTATTTGTCACTCTAGAGTTATCATATTTAAATATGTGGCTAAAGTTGAGGCACAATCATGTACCTAATTGAGATGGGGTTCGGGAAGAAAGAACTGAGACGGCGTTGGGGGAGAAAGAACGAAAAATAAAAACCCCAATTCAAGCGAGAGTGAGAGAGACCCCGTTAAGGCTGAGAACTAGAACTGGATTCGAATTCAAAAGTTAATGGATCTGAATCCGAAACCGAAACAAAACATTGGATCTAGATCTGAATCCGGATCTGATTGTGAGGGTGTATCCGAATTCGAAACATGACATGAGATCCAAATCAGAATCCGGATCTGATTCTATCAAAGGTAGATTCAGATAAACAAACATTATGAAGGGCAACCTTATAATGTAGAACTACGGATACAGATCAAAAATCCATCGGAAAAGGTAGTTTTAATGTTGAAAGCCTATGATTAATCATCTCGATATCGAGATGTATGATGATAAAAAAATAAAAAAGATTTTAAGTCTTAGAAATAATACATTTTACAACATATTTACACCGTCCATTTTCAAGATTTTCATATGTTTATAGATCTACTTGATTTTAACCATTTTTAAAATTTAAAATTTTGTAATTAGATATAACAATAGATTTTGAGATAATTCTAAGAACATTTTACATTAAAATTATATACCATGATTAAATTTGAAAGTGTACCTTACCTCGACAACTACGGATGCATCCGTGTATGGCAACTGCACCCCCACAAACAAAGCATCTGAACCTTGAGATTTTGTTACTTCTTCCTTCCTTAAGGTTCACCCGCTTTTTATTTACTTGATCTCTCAAGTTTCCAGAGCTCTACTTTCTCTCTTGGCTTGATACGATGTCTCTCTGCGAATGTTTGGTTCGAAAATGATTTCTTAGAAATCACTTTTTTTAGAAAATAACTAATTTTTCACGTTTCGTAACAAAAGTAAGAAATCTTTTTACCTTCCAAATTAATTTCCATAAAAAATGTTCAAAATCTAAAAAATTAGATATGATTCTAATTTCTTTCAAAATAATTGGTGGTGGGGTGTAAGCAGGGCGAGCATCAAACTGGGTTGGCCCAAGGTCGACAAAGCCTGAATATACTCTGGCATGACCTTGTACGGCTCGGCCTAATAATGGTACCCGAAAAACCTGCCATGCCCTCGAATATGCACTATTTAAGCCCGGATCGACCCGAAAATAATCCATTGGGCTTGAGCCCATCCCGGCCTTTCAAGAAGCCTCCTCTTTTATTTATTTATTTATTTATTTTATTCACTCTTTAAACTTTTATTGTTTGTAGTAAAAAAAATACACGCTAAAATATTTTTTAAAAAATTTAAAAAATATTAGGTTTCTATAGAGAAAATAGACATTGGGTTTTTAAAGAGAGAGATTGGGCTTTAAGAGAAAGATATTGGGTTTCTAGAGAGAGAAGAAAGATTGACATTTTAGAGAGAGAAAGATAGATTGATTTTTAAAGAGAGAAAGAGAGCTTGGGTTTCTAGAGAGAAATAGAAATTGGATTTTAGCGAGAGAAAGAAATTGGTTTTTTAGAGAGAGAATGAGTTTTTAGAAAGAAAGAGACTAAGTTTCTTGAGAGCGAATAGGTTTTTAGAGAGAGAGAAAATGAGTTTTAGAGAGGCAAAAGGGCGAATGATTTTTAGAGAGAGAAAGAGATTGGATTTCGAGAGAGTAAGAATGGGTAGAGAGAAAGAGATATTTGAATTATAGAAAGAGAATTGGTTTTTAAAGAGAAAATGAGATTGAGTTTCTAGAGAGAGAGATTGGTTTTTTAGAAAGAAAGAAAAAATGAGTTTTTAAAAAGAGAAAGAAAGATTGGGTTTCTAGAAAGAGAGAGATTAGGTTTTTAAAGAGTACTTTTTAGATAGGGATAAATGAGGTTTTAGAAAAAGAAAGAGAGATTAGGTTTGTAGAGAGAGATAATAGCTTTAAGGGAATGGTTTTAGATAGAGAGGTTAGGTTTCTAGAGTGAGCGAATGAGTTTTTAGAGAGAGAAAGAGAGATTGGAAATCTAGAGAGAGAAAAGGGGTTTTTAGATAATGCATTTGATAGAGAAAAAGAGAAATTGGGTTTCAAGATGTGAAAGGAAATTATATATTGCCTACCAAGTTAATATGGGTATATTATAATCTATATATATGGGAGGGGTAGATACAACTTTTTGCATCTCTGGTAAGTCCAAGTATCATATAGGAATCTATGATTAATTTCTATTAATGTTATTTGTAATTTGTCTATTAAAGATAAGTTTGTATGTATCAGAGTCAGATTCATCTTTATTGTATCCATTCGAGTATGTTATTTGATCGTGCTCTTTTTTGTATTATCGAGTTTTTTGTTACTCGATGTGCACAAGGCGCCACAATTCGTCGAAAAAAAACAGCACGACTTCACGTGAATCGCACGCGTTGAGTTTAGCGCGCACGCTCTTCACCCTCTATGTGTGCTCGCGGTTCAACGTTGTACTAAACTCTAATGAAGTTGGTGTTAGGTGGGGTTAACATGAAGCATGGGAGAGAGAGAGACTATATTAATGTAACAATCCTAAAATTTCAAAAAAAAAAAAAAAAGGAGAAAATATGTTTATATATAGGTGATGTTCTGTTTGAGTATGATGGTCCTTGGGGACCATCACTGTTTTAAAAAACTTTTGCTTTGAATTAACTT